GAATAAAAAATAAACAACATTTAAAACTTCTGGAAATTTCCTTAAGAGCATACAGCAAGTGAAGAAACACTTATTTTTTAAAAACCTACTAAATCTTGCTAAGAGCAGTGAGAGTCCATGGCATTTGAGCTGGGACTTACTCCCTTCCTCGCTCTCCCACCCCCATGCCCCAGCTCAGCTTGACAGAAACTCCACCCCAGGCAGGTTTGGTCAAAAAGACAGGACTCCCTCTCCCCTCAGCTCCCAATCACGGGACATCGTGTTTCACTGGGAAGCACAGGCCACCAGCGTTTTGCAACCCCCCCCCGCACTCCACATTTAAGAGACTAAACTCCCGATGAGTGTGACTAAGAGGTGAAGGCCCCCCTTCCTTCACCAGCCCCCGATCACAGGATGGGGCTCTCCCCCAGTTAGAATACTGGGTTCCTCACTGCCCTCACTTGAGCTCACTTGGAGGGCAGAGGTTCCGCTCTGGGAGGAGCGAGCGGAGAAGATCAGAAGTTACCACCCGACCCAGCACTCAGAGTATGGCTCAAGCATGGCTCAAACACTTTGCCCAGGTGGAAAGATATTTCACAGGAACAGAGAGCTCCAAAGCTCTCACCAAAGGTGCTGCTTTTTTTGAAACAGCGTGGTGAAGTTCAAGCTCTCTCAAGGGCCACGGCTCTTCTTCATTAAGAGCAACAAGCTAAACCTTAGGCCAGTGAGTTTATCAAAGAAAAACAGGCAAAGAGAGCTAAAAAGAGCCCTCCTGGGTCACAACAAGCCCTAAAGACTGGCTCCCAAACTACTCTTGCCTGAAATTAATTGGAATAGACTGTGAAACAATTTATACGTCAGGGCATAAGCAAAACTTATAAAGCAATTGGCCAGCAATTATTAGAAGCTCAGAGTTAGGTGTGATGCCAAATGAAGCAGACAGCTCCTCAGAGAGACCAGGGAAAGAGGCAGTGAAAGAGAGCTGTGCTGAACCATGTCATCCCAGGGTGCTGTGTGCCGGGCCAGGGCTGGGCCTTCTAGGGAGTGTCCATAAGGGCTTCACCCAGTGGGGGAAATTGACTTCATAAAATAGCCTAGCAAACCACCAAACCAGCAAGCAAACAGCAAAAACAAGACCCAGAGAGGGGATGGAGGGAATCAACATCCATAGTTGCTAACAATATATTACTGAGTGGAAAACACAGTTTCTCCTACTACTCTCACAACATGCCTATGACACCAGATGTGTGTGGCTTTTCCCCCACACATCAAGTGGCAATCGATTCTGCAGCAGACACCAGCTGGGTGTCCTCCCGTTCAATTCTGACATGACCTACCTGGAGGTAGCGTCAGATCCCACAGGTTGAGGGCTCAGTCCCACAGACTGCCCCCACCTTCTATATTTTTTTTTTTTTAAGAGAGACAGGGTTTTGCTCTGCTGCCCACAAAGCTCACGTCTAAGATATCTTCGTCTCCTATACTATGCTCACAATTACAACAGGTATGAACGGGGATATAGCGATGACATGACACAGGCTGGATCTTTGGAAATCGACCAACCTTTCTGTGTCTGTTTTATACCTAATGAAGGGGGATGGTGCTGCTTATCTCAGTACTAAATTTTATTAAAGAGAATTATAGGAGGTACTTTATTAAAGAGAATTACAGGAGGGTTCCCAACACCTAACAGATACACAATGCATGTTAAGTTTCACCCCCTCTTATATGGTAGGGTGATGCTAAGGATGTACATGAAACCCTGTGATCTGCTTTGCTAATTCACTCGGCATTTTTTTTTCTTTGCTACTTTTTTTTTTTTTTTTTTTTTTTTTTGAGACAAGCTCTCACTCTGTCACCCAAGCTGGAGTACAGTGGCATCATCATAGCTCACTGTAACCCTCCAACTCCTGGACCAAAGTGATCCTCCCACCCCAGGGTCCCAAGTAGGCTACGCTCAAACTTTTATCTCTTAGTATGAATTACCAGACATTAGGTGGCATTTGAAATTATTCTGATTTAAACAAGCTAATAACTAACATGTCTCATTAATCATACTCTTGTAGCACCAAGATTTCATTCATATACTAATTCCACTCTGCAAAAGTGTACCTTCTGAAAAGCTGGAGTTGCAAAAGTCTCACCATAAAATGCGACTTTTCAATGCTTATGTAAGACAAACGTTTTATTTTGTTATATTTTTAGAGACAGGGTCTTGCTCTCTGTAGCCTGGGCTAGAGTGCAGTAACGTGATCACAGCTACTGCAGGCTTAAGCTCCTGGGCTAAAGCGATCCTTGGCCTCCCAAGTATCTGGGACTACAGGCATGTGCCACCACACCTGGATAACCTTTCTTTCTTTTTTTATAGAAACAGGATCTCACTATGTTGACTGGGATGGTCTTGAACTCCTGGCTTCAAGTGATCCTCCCAAAATGGTGGGATAACAGGTGTGAGTGACTGCACCCAGCCTTAAACATTTTAAATAAAATATTCATTATACCTTTTTTAAAATATTTAATCCCATGACTCATTTAGTGATCTCCACTGTAATGAATATAGCAGGGTAAGACCTGGCTTATTAAGCATTAATAATTTTTATTAACATGTTTTTCCTTATTGAGTACAAAATAAACCATTGCAAACTATAGTCACAATTTAAGAGTATATCAAAGCCATTGAGCAAATGGACCAGCTATAAAAAAAGTTTATTAAAAAAATAGACAACGTATGTAAACATCTTTTACAATCACAAGGCCTCATAATACAGCATATCAGGTCCACGCCTTAAATCTCTGCAGTGGGAGCACCTTAATTGTCAACTAACAGTAATCAGCTTAATTTACCTTTTAGTGCGCTATTAAGCCTACACAAAAATAAATAACCAGATCCTGCTAAGTTTGCTAACACACAGAAAATCGCAAATGTACAATAGATCACAGCAGAAAATAGCTATGTGCAGTAACATGTGAAACTGAATTCTTATATTGCAATTATCTTTTTAATATAGCTTCATTTCTAAATTCATCACAACGTAGAGTTGACTACAAGGAAGCTGAAGGGGACAGGAAGAGGATATATGGAGATAAGAGAGAACACCCACGCCACACACACACACACATACACAGAAGCACGCACACACATACAAAGCATGTTTTGGTAGAAGCAAAACTGAGGACATAGTTTCTATCCTTTTTCTTTCTTTCGCGTATCAATAATTTTAGGTGTGGATTTCCTTTCCTCTTAGCTGGACGTTACACGCTCCCAAATGACGGAATACGAACCAGCTAACCATAGTTTCAAGTGGAATAAAATTTTGAGGAAACAAAATTTCTGTTACATAACTCAATAACCACCCAAAAGTGAAACCGAATTACAGAACAGACAATAATGCAACAAGACCGAGACTCTGCTACAAGAATCTGAAAAGCAAGATTGTTTTCCTTGGGGAAAAAAGCACTGTTAATACAATCCTTTCACACTGCTTGTCATCTGTGGGGCTAGGTGACTGAGATGTTCCAAAATGGCCAAATAATATGATTTTCCTATTGTTTTCTATTTCATAGGTTAGATATTTCATCACACTTGACGTAATTTATTTTAAATGGCTGACATTTCAGTTATTCAGCAAACTGTAATCAAGGTATAATCTTAAATAAAATATCAAGTCATGTTTTTAATTTTGTTTTTCATTGTATGGAAAAACTTAAATATTTATTGTCTGTCTTCTAAATAACCATATTCTAGAGACAGAAGGAAAGCACAATACATTTAACAGAAGAAACCCAGGCAAATTTACCAAGCGCCTGGCTAGCCATTTCTGTAGCAGTAATCCAGTAGTCTATTTGTATCATATGTATGTGATTATAAAAGTGATTCATAAATAATTTTAAATCATTTAAAACCTGGGTCTGCTATTTGAAGACCATTTTTATAAATCCACTTCTGAAAGTGATTCATAAAATAGCTGTCATTTCCACCATATCACTGTATCTCAACAGATGTCTAACATTTGTCCACAGTTAAACGAAATGTGAAATAAAGACAAAATACTTAAATGCTAACAGTATTGTACTGCTGTTTCTTGAGTTGGCAGCGTTTGAGTGTATTCTGGATTTTATTAGAATAGACATTCAAATAGAGAAAAATAAAATTAAAACACATGACTATTTACAACACATGATATCTGTGAACAGAGCTAGGCACGTGTAATTTAATTTTTAAAAATTCTACCAGAAAGTGAAAAAGTTTTCCACTTCTAAATACCAAGTAAATGGCTACTGATGACAGAAGAACCCTTTCTACAGGAAAAACCTAAAGATTAGCCTTGCTCACGGGCATACAATATGGTCTTAGCCAAATGTCAATGATCTTCTAAAATCTGGTTTGGAATTCTAATGGATAAAATGTTTATAAGTTACATTCAATAAAACTTTTGTAAGTTACATTCAGTAAAATCTCCTCAGAGAGAAATAGCATTGCATAATTTAGGTGAGAGTTGGACATATTTATGCATTATAAGCCTATGGCTGAGGTTAGGTAGTTTAAATAGGATTCTGTATCTATTCCAGTCATCAGACTTCTTAAAAATAGACACCTTTACCTACAAGAATCACATTATTCTTGCCAAGAAACTAATAGCTCTTCCTTGGCTTTTTGTTGAACAAATAAAAAAAGAAAGACAAGAAAAAGAAAGGAAAGAATGAATGAAGGAAAGAAAAACAGTGAGCCTCATTGCAATTTCTGTTCTGTACTAACAGATGAGAATATAAGTGAGAACAAAGTCTTATAATTGTGCTTATGATAATTCTACCCAGCACAGTTTTCATGGGTACACATTTCTTGTTGTACACTTCTGTGTATTTCAAGTTACTAGAAAAGAATCCAATAGAAAACGCAATATAAATGGCTAACAGCAATCGTATATGGTTTTTGGAGAAGTTAGATATCCATGACTCATTTAGTGACATGGCCACAGATTTGAAAATACAGCAGCATGAAACAATTCAAAGGTAGATATATTGTGTTCATTTGTTCACCTTAAAAAAGAAAAAAAAAAAAAGAAATGCTTAAACAATATAAGGCACTTTATTTAAGACAGAAATTCTTTCTCCAGTTCATATATCGACGGTCGGCTGGTTTTGCTCTTCATTCTGCACAGAGGCACGGTGTAGTCCCTGCTCTGACCTTCCACGTCGGCGTCCAGTAACGAAGGCATGTGGAATTTAGTTCTTCCCTTGGCACTGAGGACACGGGTAAGGCTCGGTCCTAGACGACCCACTACGCAGGTGGCCTGTGCAGGCTGAGAGGCTGCTCGCTCTGGGGGAGCCTGAAGTCGATCCAGTCGGCTTCTCAGGGAGGCGGGGCGAGGCCGAGGCAGGATGCTGACAGCTCTGTGCTTCTCACCCGGCTGGTTACCGTGAGGACCAGAGGAGCAATGGAGTGGCAGTTCAGAGGCTCCGGTGGCTAAGATCATAGCTGCACCAGCTGGTTGAGAAAGCCAAGACAGTGTGCAATTAGAAAGACAGTGACTTTTAAAACAATGAATATCAAGAAAAATAATTATGATGACGATTCAGCTAGGTGATCACTTTAAAGTGACCTTCAACATAAAACACAAACACAAACCTTTTACAACAGTTCAATTTTTTTTTTTAAGAGTTGGAGGCTAACATTGTTGCCCAGCTAGACAGCAGTGGCTATTAGCAGGAGCAATCATAGAGTCTCGAATTCCTGGCCTCAAGCAATCCCTCCCCTACCCCCACCCCAGCCTCTTGAGTAGCTGAGACAACAAGTGTGTGTCACTGCTCGGCTAATTTTTTTTTTTTTTTTAAATGAAAAAGTACTGCAAGGTTGGAAAGTACTTCAACCTATGGAAATGATATTTGTAAACAGAGCTAAATGATCTTCACAGTGCTTAGGCCAATGGCCATTATTAGTGTTTCATAATCAGGTTGGCTTTCAAAATGGATGAGATTGGAATAAATTTAAGATGTTTAGAAATGATGGTTAACATGGTTAAACTTCACTTTTGATTATGATTTGAAAAAATTGATTAAAATAGGAATGCAGTTAGGTTTTTACATGTTACTGTTCTCTTGCTTGTACTAAAGAATTGACTTATTACCACTTTAGCTAATAATTATTGGCTTACAAATAAGAGAAAAATGCTTTCTTATGGGATTACTATGCCAGGATTTCTCCTTGCACAATTATAAATTACCAATATTTTACTGACTTACCAAAGGATAATAAACCAACTTATCTAATGACAATGAACAATAATCTGAAAAGTATCATGTCTAGGTATAGTATTTAAAGAGAAGAGGCAGATGAAAAGACAAACAGAATGATAGCAGTTTCAGTTTTAATATAGCTTTATAACTGACCCAGCATAACATTTTACAATTTAAAAACCATTTCTCATATACATTACTCACTTAATACTCATGACAGGTGTATGAGGTTAATTGTAATTATCTTCATATTAAAAAGCAAAATAGTCAACCCCTACAGAACACTTAGTGTGCCGCTGACTTTTATAAGAATTTTAATAGTGGTATAGATTAGGTAAGCATATTATTAGGTAAGTATATTATCATCATCCCCATTTTATAGATGAAGAAACTGAGGCACAAAATGGTTAAGCAATTGGCCCAAGGTCACTCAGCAAATAAGCGACAGGGCAGAGATTTGAGCTCAGACAGCTTCCATTCTACTATCCATGACACTATATGCCTTAAAGGCATTCAAACAAGAAAGCAGGTTACATAATTTTTCCAGGTTCATAAACTTACCAAATGGTACAACTAGAACTTGAACCTTAGTCCTATGACTCCAAATCACCTGTTCTTCCAAAGTGGCCACAATATCTCCTCAAAGGTCAGTATTAAAGTGACACTGAACCCCAGAAATCTCAAAGGTGAGCACCACTCCGGCACACAATAGCATAATCCAAATGTGTAAATACCCCTCCTATTTCCGAAGCGGAAAGAACACGGCTATGAGGAGGAGAGAGGCAGCATAAAGCAGTGGTAGGATTGCAGGTTTAAATTCTGACAGCGCTACTTAGTAACTGTGTGGTCTTGAATAACTCATTAATTTTCCATGAGTTCTATTTCCCTTGCTTCTGAACGGGGGATATGTATAAAATAGAGTTGTCGCAAGGACCAAGAGAGAGAATTTATGTCAAAGCGCTTTATCATCTATAAAGTGCTACAGAAATACCAGTGGCTGCCTTCTAGACAAGCCCCTCTTGCTTAATGGACTAGAAAAATCTATTAGAACTGTGCGTGAGAATACATTTCTGCTGAATAAGCCCCCCAGTCTGTGGTGCTTTGTTACGGCAACCCTAGCAGACTGATACACCTGCTAACCTCAGCCCCAACATAAACTGAGCAATGAAGTCAGGTATGCAAGAGCCAAGGCATCACGGGACAGGTAAGAAGGCCAGTGTTAGTTCCAGCTTTGCCACTAATTAGTGGTTCAGATTTGGGCTAATGATTTGTCTTCTCTGTCAACGTGAAGGGGCTGGGTAGTGAAAGCTCTTTCTGCTTTAATATGCAACTACACATTTAAGTTGCTGAAATTTAATTATACTTTTCCCAGAAATCCCAATTATAGTTAAATTAGAATCAAATGAAAGAGGAGAGAAGGGTGAAATTCAAAGATCTCTGTGAACGGTAAAAACAAAATGTCCCTAGGAAAATATAAAATCATAGATCCATACCATTTCACATTCTAATCTCTACAGTAGCGTTTGATATGTTTACAAGTACCATGCAATCTACCTGGGGTCGGATTTCCATCCGACATGGTCCGTCTGTGGTGTGATGCTCTATCTTTTGAAGAAGCACAGTAAGGCACATTCCCAGGTGTCTGCTCTAGCAAGGAAGGAGACATGTTTTTGGATACACCATGATCAGTCTCAAGCGTTGGCATGGGGGCTGGCTCACGACCACTCCCTGGAATGGCAGGACGAAAATCTGGAGTAGACATCTCGGGGTTGTCAGTGATAGGTGTGCTGCCCATGGACAGATCGTCACCATCCGTCTCCAGCAGGCACTTCGTGGAGAGAGAAGGCATGGACAGAAGGCTCACGGCACTTGGTGGCGGGAGGGAGGGCAGGCTGCTGGCCTCCCCGCCTGTGGACGGCAGCCTTGTGGAAGGACTGGTGCTTCTGCGTGACTTGGAAGCCCGCTGGAAGATTCCTTCTCGTTTCTTCTTTTCGTCCTTGGGCAACAGTTCTTCAGCAGCCTGCGTTCTATTAAGCTCTCTGATATCCAGCCCCAGAGCCACCGACGCCAGCAGCATGGTGCACCTGTACAAAGCAGACTCTGTCTTCTTTCTCTGAGGGGGTCGGCTCAGACTGTTCGTAGGAGTCACCTGAGGAGACCCCGCAGCAGAGTTCACAGAAGTGCCCTCCTCCCAGCTTTCAGCTTCCATGGGATTCTCTCTTGGACCATCTTTCCACAGAGGTAGATCAATGTAGGCTGGAATAGGTGATTTTATTTGCTTTGATTTTCTGTGTTCTAATTCATTTGGGGAAAGTTTCAGCTCTTCACAAGCCCCTAAATAAAAGTATAAATATATACGCTGTAGTACCATTTTACAGTAAAAATTATTCAAACTAGGTTGTGAAATAAAGCTAAAATCTAACAAATAAATAAATGTTCTAAATCAAAACCCACACAGCCCTTTCCAGTTTGTCAAATGATTCACCAGGAGGGCTCTCCGGAACACGACCCCAGAGCTTGACAACTCAAGGTTCCCTGCCGATGAACCGGCAAGTAAACCATCTGCTGTTCCCTACCCTTCAGGAGATTGTTCTTCACTGGCATCAGTAACAGAAACTACTGTAGAAACAAAGTCGTCAAGACACAAAAAACACACACGCATAGACACAGGCACTAAGTATGTCATACCAAATGTGCCCTTTCCTCACTGCACCTAAATCGATGTGTCGGGCTCCATTATGCACAGCACGCCTGCGTGTGGAAGAATTGTCACACGGCAGACCAGCGGTTCTCAAAGTGTGTGGCCTGCACCAGCAGCGTACCCTGGGAACTTGTAAAATGCCAATTCTTGGCTCACTCCAGGCTATAGAATCAGAAATTCTTGGGAGGGTGGCTAGCTCAACAGTCTGTTTTTAATAAGCCTTTACTAAAGTTTAGGGGCCATGACAACAGAGGAAGATTCTCCAAAGAGTTTACAGAGTCCCAAAGGGTTACAAATTATACTAGCTAAAGAAGAAGCTAAAATGCTTATTATTTATGGAATGAGTAATATGTTTAACAATGAATGACAGAATGACAAACTCCTGAATCTGGTTTCCGAGGCAATCCACAGGAGAACCTCCGACTTTTCCAGCATTGCATCCTACTACTCCTAAACCACGCTTGATCATCCAGACGACCTGGGATACCAGCTCTTGTCCAGCAGCCTGTGCTCTTCCCAGGGGTGCCTTTTGTTCAGGGTGCCCTCTTTTTCTTCCACTGGAACCCCTTCCACTCCCTATCCCTGCTTACCCAAGCTGCCTTTTCCTTCATAAAGGAGAAACCTTTGAAGGAGAAATGGAACCCAGGCAGTAGTTAAAAGGTGCTTTTGTAAATGAAGCATAGCATTGATAAGACATTCGAGAAATTTACACTGCATTTTGCTAAAACATCTTTCATTTAATCACATTATCAAAGGGTCCTCTTACATGGTCAAGTATAAAGACCAATTTTCTTTTCTTTGTTAATAACCATCCTTGAAAAGTTTTTCAGTAATTTTCAGCTCTTCGACCTTTTAGGATCTGAATGTTTAATGTGAATACTGAATACTGAAAAGAAATCATTATGATTCATTTAATTTAAACAGAAATTCCAATGTAAAACTCTCCAAGCAGTAGTTTTCCACAGTTAACCTGCTTCGCAGTATTGTATCATGTTAATAGGTAGAAATATAGCCAGAAACCCTACTCCTTACTTTCAGCAGAACTTTCAGAGAATTTATATTTTCATATTTAATATCTCCTATACTAAATTAACATGGTTCTACATAATTATGACAATAATTTTTCTGATAAAGAACAGGAGTTACAAATTCCCAAAAAGCATGGGGAGCCTAATTACTTTCCACCATAAAGACTTACTTGATAGAAAATAACTTTTGAGATTAAGTAAAGGTATAAGGAATGCCATTACTTGCTAACCTCTCCCCTCTGCTACTTTGCTTCAGAGCACTCAGATGCTAAGTCTAACCCAAACAAATTGTACTTCCTGAAACACACTTACCTGGCTGGTCTACAAATAATGAAGCCAAGGGCATGGTTTTCTGGTTTTTTATTAAGAGAGTTGACCAAGGACTGTTACCGTCTGAGAGAGGTCTTATCCTACAAGAGAAAAACGTTTATTTTCATATAATACAACCACATAATACACAAATTAGGTTTTGGTGGATACGTGCCAACAATATTTTTAAGGTATTAATAGTAAAGAGAACACACGCGTTCTCTCAGTTTTGAACAGCTAACAGAGTACAAATAAAACCTGAAAATGAGACAGAAAAAATATCAGAAAGATTTTTTTAACTGCTTAACTAAATAATGATTAATTTAGGATGACAAATTCATCCTAGAAAATTAAAGTCATATTCAGATATCTCTGCATTAAAATTTACTTGCTTTTTGCAAGTCTGGCCAACGTGATATTAACACAGGCACTGCTATTTCCCCAGTATACACTGGATTCTACCAGATACCACACGTGTACCTTTCTTTGCAATCCGTTCTTTCTTTCACTTGAATCGAATTTGGTCCCCAGGTACAACCTTTCTTCCTGAAATTCCTTTTTACATCTTCAAATTCTTCTTGCCGAAAGACTGCATTCCTGCCCCAAGTTTTATTGCTTTCATCTGAAGTCACTAAACAGAGCATCACCATTAACCAGTGTCAGCTTTGATGAAAAAGTTAAATGAGTCAAATCAGTTGTAAAATTACCTTACTGACAACATGAAAACAATGAAGAAATGATTTGTTTCACCCAATCAATGGCAAGTTCCTTTCTCTAATCATAAAAATAGCAAGAACAATGGAATAATAGAAAAGATACAAATTCAAGGTAAATTAGCAGCAAAGATCCGATTACTTACTTATCTATTTATTTTCAATATTTTGTAATAGTCAGGATTTCATTTTCATTTGGGGAAAAACAGCAAAACTGAACATTTAACTTGAAATGAACTTAGTGCCTTAATTTTTTAACCAAATCAATTAAAATTTTGAACTTAAGGCACAAATGTTATTTTAAAATTGCAATATAAGCTACTTCTTCATTAGTCATCACAATTTTGCTCAGGTACCACATCACTTTGGCTATAGTTGCCTTTTAAAAACTGAAAATATTTAACAATTTTCTATGTCTTGCTTTTTCCACTACCTCACAGGAAGGTGTATGTTCATGTTTAATAGCCACATTTTGCTAATACACTTACATGCTATCCCTCTAGCCTTTAAGTGTGCTTACATTGATTTGGCAATCAATGGGGAAAACTGCTGGTATTACTACACACTTAGGAAAAAAAGAATCTGAAACACACCATGTTCTAAAAATAGTTTGAAACCTCAGGATGTACATACACAATGGAATACTCTGTGCCCACAAAAGATGCAGTACAGATAAAAATGATAACGTTTATATCATATTTAATATTATGTATAACACATTTTCATTCAAAATTATGTTTATGCATGTGAGTATATACAAACATACATACACATAGAGAAGTTATTAAATATAGACATCAAACTTCTATTAAAAGAATCCTCTCTGATGGAGAAGATTACTTATGTAAAGAGGGAAATTTAACTTCTTTATATCGTTTTATTAAATTGTACACATTTTGGGTGATGTTTGATTTCTTTCTGTGTGTTTCAATATTTTCCAAATTTTAAAATATACATATGTGTGTATATGTCTGTGAATATATATGTAGATGCTTGCACATATGGACATGTGTGTATTCATGCGTGTCTGACAATCTTGAAGAGTTGTTTTGGTCTTTGCTAGTTATGCAGGGTGATAAGTTGGATGGGGTAGGATGGGGAGGGTCAGGGAGGGTTACTGATCTTTTCAGCCTGTATCACCTCTTTGGAAAAGTAAGTGTTCTAGGTTTACTATCCACTGTGATACTCCATTATTGGAAAATACATCAGGGATGTACAACCACATCAGGTTCCTGAAATAGCAGGAGACTGTGTGATTGACTTTCCCACTGTTCAATTTTATTCAACAACAGAGAAAAGGTGTGTTTTGCCCTTGCTTTTTCACCATGACTTCTGAGAATGAATGCTAAGGATGTTCCTCCCTAAGCTTCATTTCAACTCTATGGGGTTGGAATTTATTTGAAATCCCAAAAGTATTCACTTTAACTAGTACAAATCTTGGGCCCAGCCAGACCTACCCAGTACCACTGCCTCACTTCCATGGGCTGGTATTCCCCAGGGCAGAAGGTGAGGACACAGGGAAGAGGGCAGGGGCACGGCTGGGCAAAGGTGGAGGTGGTGTAGCTCCCCATCCACCTGCCCCTTCTCCGGAGCTGGGAGACAGCCCCGAAGCCCTTTCTCCATCCTTTGACAAAGCCCCTACTCTGTCTAGGCAAAAGGCAAGGTACAAAGTACAGCTTTATGAAAAATGCATTCTCAGAAAGACAAATCAGTTACGATAAGACATGGTGCTTAAGTTCTAAGAACTACAGCCTCGTTTCGACCCCACTTCACTGCATGGTGAGGATTCTGTGTCTGGGAGCTCGCAAGAGAAACTTCTGCCAGTGCCAAGGTTTTCATTACCAAAAGAGAAGAAAAACAGTAAATTCAGTTCAGGCTTCATTGGAGAAAATTTTCTTTTGGAATTTTTTTTCCTCCAAATAAAGATAGGTGAGCAGGAGAGAATTAAGTTTGGTGGAGAAAGGAGAGGCTGTAAATGAATGGTTGAGCATGGTAATTTAGTCTAAATACCACATTCCTTACAGATGTACATATGAATCACATTCTTCTTTTGCTCAGTCTACTTTTAGGGGCTTATTTGGACTCACCTTTAAAAAAAGTCAACAATTTTTTATTTTCATGCCACTAAACTCTGATCCAGGACCTAACCGAAACTCTCAAAGTGCAAACAAAGGTGCCAGGCAAATCAGCTATGTATGTATTGTCTCCTCCAGGATGAGTACTTGTTCTAAAACCAAAATGCTACAAGGAATTTTGAAGTATTAAGTTGGTCAAACCTGAAGTGAATTAAAAAGCAAAATTTTTTTTCCTCACAAAACAAGGAAAATGGAAGTCATCCTGAATTCCTGATTTCATTTTTCAAAATATCCATACAGAAATAACTGATGATATAATTAGGTTATGTTCATTGTGCATGCAAGTGTTTAACAAAATGTCACAAGATGCGGTATTCCACTTTCTACTCCAGGACCTGGTCACGTGACAACAGCATAGCATCTAACATCCATGTGCCGTGAGTATAAGAAAATGAGACGAAGGAACCTAAGCCCAAATTTTGTTTTCCAAATGGTTGTAGTATCTATGAAATGTCACACGCTCACTTACAACCTGCTATCAAAATATGTCTGCTTAATTTAAATCCAAGTCACGTAAACAACAGACATCAACCCAGAAGCCCCCGCAGTGGCGGAGCAAGCTCACACTGTATAGCTCGGAGCCGGGGGATCACGGTGGGGCTGCTGGGTGGGCTGGAACTGCTGCTGTTTAGACTCCGCCGTTTGTCCAAGTTGGGAGAGGCCTGCACGGTTATCTTGTGCTGGAAATCTGTCGGATACAAAAAAAAGTAAGAACTGACATTTCATGGTTTGAAGTTAGTTTCATAGCCATGTCTTTAACACATGGTCATAAAGGCAAAAATTGCTAGACAGTAACTATGAAGTATATGTATTTCAGAGTCCGTTTCTTGCTTTGGTTTCTGACTTGTCAGAGTTCAAGAGAATAAATAATGACTCAGAGCTTACATGTTAGGTACCATGAGATACACACACAGAGAAAAATGAAATATTACTGAATCCTTGGAGAACTTAGGAGTGTTCTGGGGAGGGTTACCTGGTTTTAGTCTGAGGTAGTTAAAAACAAAACTGAAATAGAACACCCTGTATTTAAATGAGCCCTGGTTCTGTCACTAACAAACTGTGGACCTCAAACCAGTAAGGAACCCTCTGAGCCGGTTTCCTCACCTGTTAAATGGGAACAGCAATATTTCACAGGGCTGCTGTAGTGATGAAAACAGAAAATGTAGGTTAAAAGCATTTTGTGGTCAAGCCCTAACTATAGTATGCCAGAGATGTGCCAGGAACTATGGAAATACATGGGAGAAAGAGTAAAATTACCGGAAGGAAAAGGAGAACGTCTGAGAAAACTTTGTAAACTGTTAGGAAAATCATGCCAGCTTGGATGCAGGTAAAAGACATTACTGGGTGTTCTTTCCACACAGTTCTAAGCCTAACCTTTGATTGACTGCTTTGCTATTGACTGGCTTATTTTTACAGCTAGGTAGGGCAGAGGTTAACTTGCAGATTTTGTCTGGTGATGATTCAAATAATTCCTGTCTGGTGAAAAAGACAACCCCAAAGGTTTCGGTTTACTTCTGCATGGGGCATCAACCAGGTTTGTATTTAACCCAGCAATCTAATCCTGACATTCCTTTATTAAATTGTCCATAAATACCTAGCCCCTCAAATTCTCATCTCAACCGGTTTTATCTGGTTCCTCACTAATTAAGGAATCTAATAAAATCTTTGATAAGGGTTCATTTCATATTTGCAAGAGTGCTATAATTTACCTTTTTAGAAATTATACTTTAAATAACTTTAATGAACCACCTGGTATATGAGGTGAAGAGGATATGGAATTTGGTAGGCAAAGACAACTATCCAGTTGTTCATGCTAGAAATCTAAAAATTTTTCTTGATGTCTTCTCCCTGACCCTACACATCCATCAAGCACAAAATAGCTGATAAATTCTGTGTTATATATTTTTCTTTTTTTTTTTTTGAGACAGAGTCTCACTGTGTTGCCCGGGGTGGAGTGCCATGGCGTCATCCTAGCTCACAGCAACCTCAAACTCCTGGGCTCAAGCGATCCTTCTGTCTCAGCCTCCCAAGTAGCTGGGACTACAGGCATGCGGCACCATGCCCAGCTACTTTTTTCTATATATTTTTAGTTGTCTGATTAATTTCTTTCTATTTTTAGTAGAGATGGGGTCTTGCTCTTGCTCAGGCTGGTCTCAAACTCCTGAGCTCAAACAATCCACCCGCCTCGGCCTCCCAGAGTGCTAGGATTACAGGCGTGAGCCACCACGCCTGGCCTATACTTTTCTGATAGTAGAGAAATTTCTATTCCAGGTTCTAGGGTTAGCACAGTTGGATCTGAATGCCAGTTCTACCACTTACTGGCCATATGAATTTTGGGAAAGTAACTTAACCTCTTGAAGTCTCAGTATCGTCATTCATAAAAATGGAAAAAAAACCTAATTATTCCTATTTCATAGGACTGCTATAAAAAATACAAAGAAGTATAAAATGTACTTAGCACAGGGCTCAGGACATAAAAAATGCTTAATAAATGTTAGTTACACTTTTTGTTCCCTCCATCTCCGTGACTACCATCATTTCATGCCTAGGCTGCTACAATTCCTTGTAGCCATCTTCGTGCATCCACCTTTAGCCCATTGAGTCTGCTTCATAGAAGCCTGATGCATTTTTTAAAAATTTTTATTGCTATATCACGGTTGTACATATTTGTGGGGGACATGTGATATTCTGACACAATGTGTAATGATCAAATCAGGGTAACTGTGATATCCATCACCTCAAACATTTATCTTTTCTTTGTGTTGGGAACATTATAATTCTTCTCTTCTAGGTATTTTTACATATACAATAAATTATTTACTATAATTTCCCTATTGTACTATCGAATACTAGAAGTTACTCCTTCTGTCTAACTGTATGTCTGTACCCCTTAACCAACTTCTCTTAGTCTTTCCTCCCCGCTTCCCTCCCCAGCCTCTGGTAGCCACCAATCCACTCTCTACCTCCATGAGATCCGCTTTCTTAGTTCCCACATATGAGTGAGAACATGTGTGACATTTCTTTCTGTGCCTGGCTTATTTCATGTAACATAATGATCTCCAGTTTCATCCAGGTTACTGCAAATGGCAGGATTTCATTCTTTTTATGGCTAAATAATATTCCATTGTGTATATGAACCACATTTACTTCATCCTTCCCCATCTCTCACCATATACAAAAATCAACTCAAAATGGAATACAGATTTAAATGTAAGACTGGAAACTATGAAATACTAAAAGAAAACACTGGGTTACGCTATAAGACATTGGTCTAGGCAAAGAATTTTGGGGTAAGACCTCAAAAGTACAGGCAACAGAAGCAGAAATACACAAATGGGATCACATCAAGCTAAAAAGCTTCTGCACAGCAAAGGAAACAATCAACAAAGGGAAGAGACAGCCGATGGAATGGGAGAAAATATTTACAAACTACCCATCCCACAAGGGATTAATAAGTAGCATATATAAGGAACTCAAATAACTCAAAAGCAAAAAACAAACAAAACAACACACAAATAATCCAATTTAAAAATGGGCAAAAGACCTACACAGACATTTCTCAAAAGAAGACACACAAATGCCAATCAATAGGTATATGACAAAATGCTCACTATCACTAACCATGAGGGAAATGCAAATCAAAACCACAATGAGATATCATCTTACCCCAGTTAGAATGGCTATTATCAAAAAAGCAAAAAATAACACCTGCATTTTTTGAAATGCACGACTGACCATGTCATTTCCCTGCTTAAAATCCTTCAAAGGCTTCTCATTATTCTTAAGTTACAGATTAAAACTGTAATAAAGTCTATAAGCCCCTGCAAATCTGAGTCTGGGTTCTTGACGTTCCCACCTCATCTCGCCCCATCCTCGCCTTACTCCTCACGGTCTAAATCAGGGGTCAGCACATTTTTTCTGTAAAGTGCCACATTTTTAGGCTTTGTGAGCCATACAATCTATTTCAACTACCCAGCTCTGCCAACGTAATGAGAAACCAGCCACAGACAATACATATTTTAATAAACGAATGTGTTCCACTAAAACTGTCTTTATGGATATTGGAATTTCAGTTTCAAGTCATGTCAGGTATCATGAAATATTATTCTTCTTTTGATTTTTTTTTAAGTATTTAAAAGTATACAAACCATGGCTGTACAAAACAGGTATAGGCTGGACTAGGCCCATGGGGCTTAATTTGCTGACCCCTGGCCAAACCACACTGGACTTTTTTCAATTCCTGGAAGACAACAAGCTTTCTTTGCACGTGCTCTCTGCCTGTTTCCTTCCTTCCCCCTGTGTATTTGGTAAATTCCCACGTCAAGGCTCAATTTAAATGTTACTTCTTTAGGAAGCCTTCTGTGATCACCTTAGACCAGGTTACATCTCTGCACTAATCACTGTCATATGACTTTTCCCTCACGGTAGTTAATAATTACAGCAAGTAAGTGAGTATTTGTTTAATTATTAGCTTAAGGTCTGCCGCCTCCCCCAATAAAATGTAAGTCCTACGTGGGCAGAGACCATGACAGTCTCCATCCCTGTTTCATCCTCCACCAAACTGGCACAGTGTCTTGCACAAAAAAAGTGCTTAGAAAACATGGTTGAATGAATTATTTTCTCTGTGAAAATTGTAAGTAACATGAGTGCAAAGACCTTGCGTATTTTATCATAACCCCTAGTACTTGGTGCAGTAGCTCCTTCAGTGTTTGTAGAATGAGAAAGTTAGACAAGGCTTATCAACAGGATCAAACGGGTGCTTAAAGCCAATTGTTAAGAAATATATAGCAGGGTGGAGGTGGTTTGGAAGACAAAGCAAATAGAACAGGAGTACCAGAGGGGAGGCTTTCTCCACTTATCAAATGAGCAATTATGAAAGATTTGACCAGCACAGAGCAGTTTACATACAGAATGGATAAAAATAAAGAGTTTAGTAGGACATACTGACTGGATTTGGTGGTGGTGGTGGGGGAACAGGTGGTAAAGGAAAGAAAGAAATATTGTTACCCACAGATATGAAACAGTTTATTTTAGATTGAAGTTATCTACAAAGGTTCCACTAGCCACCTGATTGTTATAACACTACAGAAGCAAATTCTTTGTGAATTTTTACAACAGGAGGAGACCTCTGGTCTGTAGCAGAAGACAGGCCAAGAACAAAGCCACAGGATTTGAACGACAAATTTTGGGGAACAAATGATGGGACAAGAGATACTAAGTACAGGTCAGGTAACCGGCGTGGAACATGGGTAGGCCACAGATGAGGAGCAAAGATACAATGGCAGATTTTAACAATACTTAAGACACAGAGTGCTTCCGAGTTTCTGAAAACGCATAAATACGTTCACTTTTTCAAAAAGCACTCTTTACATTTTAAACGTGAAGGAAAACATTCTGTATTATAAGCATTCTTGTCCCTTTGAAGCAGGGAAAGGTTGAGTCTGTCCCAGTTAAACATTCAGAAAAACCAAAACTGAATTGTTAAAGTAACTGTGCCTAACACTCAGGTTTTCTTTGCACATTTGGTAGAAAAGAATGGTTCTCAAGATACCTGCTCATGGCAGTTATCTTGTAGTCACAGGCTCCTGAGTAAAACTGACACTAGTACTTTTGTTGGTAATATTGATATTTCATAACTAAGCTAATGTAGCCTCAGCAGGAACGATCACTTGCACACGAAAAGGAGTATTATTTCTAAGGAATCCTGGTGAGGTATTTGCTTTCTCCTGACCACACACCCATCCACGCACTCTCACGCTCACACACGTGAGGTGGCTGGTCTTTGCGGGCTCCTGGCACTTCTGAAGTTGTTGGAGTGAGAATGGCACTGCTTCGGAGACATACCAACTTTGGGAGGCTTTCAAACCGCTTAGCCTTGTTTTAACATGTCCTAAAAACACAACTTCAGTTCTAAACAGAGTACAGAGGGAGTGATATAAAGTGGTCACAACATAAAAACATTCACTGTGACCACACTTTTTTCCTTCTAAAAAAATTCTAAGAAAAATACTAAATATTCAAAAAGTATAATTTTAAAACTATTGTCCTAAATTATAGCTGTCTCGCTTTCTAAGCATTGATCTTCCTTAGTTGGTAACCAGCTATGAAGGAATTCCAGCAGGAATAAAACGACATTTGAGTTTTCTATAATAGCAGTAAGTCACCATAGCTATAAAAAGCCATTTAATTAAAAATGATCAAGAATGATTCTCAGGGACAAAATTATGAGTGAATCTAACCTAATTATTCATATTTAATATATTTTTGAAAGATGTGTAGACACAAATATTAAGGGTCAGTTTAGGTTCTGAGAAATTCTCTAAGCCAGCTACGCAGAGGAAAAAGCCCTGTACAAAGGGTTCAAGACGTTTGGTGAGGCAATTCCATCAAAGGGACACATAACCGTTCAGTCTGTCCCTTATCACGTGTTTCTTCCTGAACAGTGCAACATTAACCATTTTTCCTCTTTTATTTTTTAGTTGACACATAACAAATGTACATATTTATAAGATATAGAGTGCTATTTTGATACATGTATGCAATGTATAATGATCAAATACGGGTAATTAGCATATCTATCATTGCAAGCATTTAACATTTCTTTGTGTTGGAAACATTTGAAATCCTTGCTTCTGGCGGTTTTGAAAATATACAATGAATTACAGTTAAGCATATTCACCCTACAGTGTCGAAGAACAGCAGAACTCATTCCTACTATCTAGCTGTAATTCTATCCCTTAAACTGCCTTTCCTCCTCCTCCCCTCCCCCCAACCCTTCTCAGAGTAATACCTACAATTCTATTCTCTACTTCCATAAACTCAAAATATTTTTTGCCTCCCACATATGAGAGAACCCGTGGTATTATCTTTCTGGACCTGACTTATTTCCCTTACAAAATGCCTCCCAGGTTTATCCGTGTTGCTGTATGTGGCAGGACTGCATTCTCCCCTACTGCCGAACAGTATCCATGGGGTATATATACCACCTTTTCTTTACCCATTCATCTGTTGACGGACAGTTAGGTTGATTCCATCTTGGCTATTGTGAGCAGTGCTGCAATGAACACAGGGTATAGGTATCCCTTTGACATACTGATTTCTTTTCCTTTGGATAAAATATCCAGTAGTGGGACTGCTAAATTATGGTAGTTCTATTTTTTTTTTTTTTGAGAGACTTCCACAATGGCTTTACCAATTTACATTACCACCAACAGTGTATAAGAGTTCCCTTTTCTTGGAATCCTTGGCAGTATTTGTTATTATTATTATTTTTTTTTTTTTTGTCTTTTTGATAACAGCCTTTCTAACTGGGGTAAGGTGATATCTCACTGTGGTTTTGATCTGCATTTCCCTGATTATTAGTGATGTTGAGCGTTATTGCATATGTTTATTGGGCATCTATATGTCTTCTTTTGAGAAATGTCTATTTCATTCCTTTGCCCACTTGTTAATCAGATGATTTGGGGTTTTTTTTGTTTTGTTTTTTGGTTTTTTTTTTTTTTTTTGCTGTTGAGTTGTTTGAGTTCCTTGTATATTCTGGATATTAGTACTTTGTCAGATAAATAGTTTGCAAATATTTTCTCTCATTCTACAGGCTATCTCTTCACTCTGTTGATTGTTTCCTTTGCTATGCAAAGGCTTTTTGGTTTAATATAGTCTCAATTGTCTATTTTTGTTTTTGTTGCCTGTGCTTTTGAGGTCTTAGCCATAAAATCTTTGCCTAGACCACCATCCTGAAGTTTTTCCCCTGCTAAACAGTATTAAAATTTGATAACTCAAAAAATTTTCTAGTAGATGATAATATTGATACAACTAACTCCCTTGAACTTAAGGTACAAATACTTACTTTCTCTTCTATGCTAAGCAAAATTCCCGAAGGAAAAAAAGAATTATTTTTAGAGTTTTTATTCCCCTTTTTGGATGTCTGCCCTGTTTTGAGATATTTACTTTATAAGTAAATATGTACGCATAGGTGTGTGGGTGTGTTTAGAGCTGGAGGAGTCTAATTAGAAAAAGGGTTTCTGTACTGGCACCGATATTACCATAATCTATCGCCATCTTGTGGCCAGGAGATGTAACTGTCGTGCTAAATTCTAGAAGCTGGATTTCATTCCTCCAGGATGGATTAGAACTACAGCAGTAGACGTTTTGGTTATGTTTTAAATGGAATCTTTTATTAAGTGCCACAAAGTAAATAAATGTATAACTGAAATGTCTCCTCTATTATCAGCAATCAAAAATCCCAAATAGTATAATCTAGAAGTAAAAGGAATCTAGCAAAAATAGTCAAATATATTCAGGCTGCTTTGAATAATTTCAAGGTATTAGCCAAAGAACATCTGAGAAGAAAAGCAAGAGTGAAAGTTTGACCTCAGGAATCCCCAGATATTTTATTTACTCACTCTACCATTGCAATGATTTAACTGTTTTCTTCCAAATTTATTTCCCTATCAGATTCTTATTCCCTGGCACCTCCCCCAGAGTTTCCCAAGGGAAACAATAAATATTAAATTACAATAACATAATCAAGACACAGATAAAAGAAAGCTGAAAGAGCTGAGAACTGAAGAATCTAGTGCCTCTCTGAGATGTTCTACCATCTATGCTTGAAAGCAGAAATCACATCATCAATAAAATTGTCTATTTTTTAAATTATGGCTGACTGATATCTGAGACAGTTCAGTCAGTGGTTCTCTAAGCAACACTCCTGCTAAGAGCAAACATTAGAAGAGAATCTGGAAAAGTACCTCTCTCACCCCCAGAGTGGTTGAATGCAAAATGTATAAGGACCTATTCTCACCTCACCAAACCAAATGATCAATAATGTATTAATGTATACTGGATGCTCATGACTGCCACAAGCTAGTTGCAATTTTCTGAACAATTGACGATATCTGCAATAACCTAAAATGTCACAGTGTGCTGCCAAGGCTTCCAGTATTTTGTAACAAGTATTTTACAAGACAATTTGTACACACTTGATATAAAACAAAACTGTTGTTATTGTTATTTAAATCAAATTTCCATGCCATTAACAAACCTCTTCGAAAAACAGTAGCATCTATAAAAATCACTCTAATATATAATACACATATGCATAAATATATATATATTTAATACACATTCCATAAAAATACAGTTTGCTCTTGTCACCATCCTACTCTGGTACTAGAAAGAATCACAAAATACAGTGGGGGTATTTGGTTTTTCCTTAAATCAATTATAATACATAATATTAAAGAATTTAATTCAGTGAATTAATATATGTTTGCTATTTTCTATTATTTTAGTTTCTCCTAACACAACTAAAAGGATTTAGTAATCCTTTTATGTTATCGGCATGATGTTTAAAAAATGTTTTTAAAAGCTCCCCTAGATATACTGGTTCATTTTTGTGCCTCAAGGACTTTAGACTCTTGCACGAAAGCAGGAATTCACTGAAGCATTTGATATATTTTGTTGACTATATCAGTGTCCCAAATGAACTCAGATACCAGATGACATTATAGATCCTTGTGAAAGCAATGAACTTAATGATAAAATACCAACAGTTTTTTGCTTTGGACTTTCATAATAAAATGTGATGTTGACAACTTGCAATCATTTAAAAAGAGGTTCTGCTTTGATTTCAAAAGGAATAAATCAACTAATCCATTAATATGAAAGTATACGGAGAGTTAAATACTCACAGTGCAGTGAACTGCAATGTACTCCTTATGCTGTTTCCTACATGAAAACTTTTTGGTCCTTACATTAGGAATTTAAGCTGCGACTGAAGATACTTACTTGGTCACAATCTTATTTCCCCAGCTCTCTCCCAGTTCTGATGAAATTAAGAAGCTGATTAAAAGGATCACACATAAAAATCTTTAAAAAACATGAAAAAAAAATCATACCTGAAGGTAAACTGATTCGATGTCCATCTTTGAGCTTTAAACGACTTCTCTTAAATTTCCCTTTTCTCTTCTTGACCTTGGGCTTTTCCTGGTTTAACTGGAATATCAAAATGTTAAGCTCCCGCTCCAGCACGTCGATCTCCCGCTCTGCAAGCTGCTGTTCACGCCGCTTTAGCAATTCTTCCTGGGACTTCTGCTGGAGAGCCGCTCGAGTCAGCTCCTCCTCCCGGGACCGCAGCTCCTGCCGCAGAGATGCACGTAGGAGAATCATTCCACGCAGGAAGATGACATTCCGGGTCTATTACACTCCCCTCGCCTCCCCCCAGCCGCTGGAGCATGGTGCAGAGAGAGAAGCCGAAATTCCCTCCTCTCCCAGCATATTGCTAACTTATATGAAAAGCAAAGTCTTTCCACAGGCTTCATTCTCCTCTGCTAGTTTTAGGATCCTAAGACAGGCATCACAAACTTTTCACACCTGATTTTTTTTTTTTTTTTGAGACAGAGTCTCACTCTTTTTGCCTGGGCTAGAGTGCTGTGGCGTCAGCCTAGCTCACAGCAACCTCAAACTCCTGGGCTCAAGCGATCCTTCTGCCTCAGCCTCCCGAGTAGCTGGGACTACAGGCATGTGCCACCATGCCCGGCTAATTTTTTTTTTCATATAGTTTTAGTTGTCCGATTAATTTCTTTGTATTTTTAGTAGAGACGGGGTCTCGCTCTTGCTCAGGCTGGTCTCGAACTCCTGAGCTCAAACAATCCGCCTGCCTCGGCCTCCCAGAGAGCTGGGATTACAGGCGTGAGCCACCACGCCCGGCCCACACCTGATTTTTAACATTCCGCTCTCTCTTCACCACCTGACACATAAAATGTACATTAACACACAGCAGCGAAGATGTGAATGACCCATTTTAAAATAAAGCCAAAAGTTAAAGCTCAATTGATTAAAGAATAATTATTCTAGTTTCAAAAGACCGCAGTTCAGACTTCTTTATGGAGGTAGTTCCGTAAGGTATTATGAATTTGCTTAAAGAATCAAACGTCTTGGCAACACTATTAAGGGAGACTTGAACAACGCTAATGTGCTGGGAGTCCATTGAAGGGGCCTGTCAAAAATAAAAATAAGACACCTCTAAAATTGTAAACCAAAGGAAAATATATTCAGTATACAAAGAACTTCTCAAGATCCCACTGATGTATGGAAAGTATCACTTTATAACAGATCTCATGAGTTAGCTAATAAAAATTCTTCTGTCATGATGCTTACTGATAAAAGTTAAACTTGCTCTTAGTTTTGGATTTGGAATTACTGAACTTCTGAGAAATAGAAAATCTATGAATTAAAAATATTTTTATTCCTGTTAGGAAAAAAATTATTCAACAGTAAAACTGAGAACCCTACGAAGTTTTAAAACTTCATCCCCATTTTTATTTCATTTCTACAAAGTGTTCTGTTCTTTACCAGAGATATAAATATTCCTTTGAGCGCTAAACTACTTTCTATTCTAAATTACCCTGCTAGGAAATCAAGCACTCACATAGAAATCAAGGCATTTGCAAGCTTTTATTTACATTGCTCCAGACAAATTTAATTTTAGAACACCCTGATACTACAATCTTTGTAAGAAATTGTAGATGCCTTCTCAAGTAGAGCTCTGGGCCATGAGCTCTGAGAACTGTGAGTATTGTGCAAACATTTCCTACTTTATATAAGCAAACCACACTTTGAATGCTGACCCATGAAAAAACACTATAAGATGAAGGCTCCTGGAAGAAACTAGAGCCAAACCATGAGACTAGAATGCCGATTCAAATCTACTAATCCCCTGGACTTCTTACAGATGGACTCAAAGAGTAATTTGAGTCTCTCTGTCAGTACAATTATCATGAAGGTAAATAAACACAGAAGACCATCTTCCCACAAATAAACAGGACAATATCAAGAAGAGACTGGGGGTGCTCATAACAGAGAAATGTATTTATTCAGATCAAAATAATTCTGAATTTATGGTAACTCTACTAAAGTAGACTGAAATTCAACTTTGAAACTTTCTTTAAATTTATTTTTTCTAAACAAATTGCATAAGCAAAACTTCAAGACAAATGATTTACTTTAGACCAACTGATGTTCAAATTACTTCGGCTAATATGTATCAGTTGGTTGTATTTATAGAGCAGATCAGTATTTCTTCATTACATTGTAATACCGTGTATTACTTGAAAAGAAAAAAATGTTACATGTTAAAAACTCCGTAATCCATTTTTAACTGGTACCTTTTAAGTGGACATTTTACTGTAGTGTATTTGGGGACAGTGGATAATTTCCAGTCAACTTCCAATTTCTAACTCATCATTGTCTACCTTTTTGTTAAGATACTACTTTTCAGTGGTGTTGATATCAATCCAACTAGCTATTGTTAAATGAGATGGCATGAGGAGGAGATGAGGGCAGCAAACTCAATTAGGCTGTGTGTTACCACACAGTAATCGAATAAAAAAACACTTTTTAATTCCATATCCCAACCTAAAATTCCCTTGCAACAACTTTACAAATAAAAAAAAAAAAATCACTTCTCTAAGACTTCATAAGAGAAAAAACTAAGATTGAAGAGAAGGCAGTAAAGGCAATTTTCCTTCTGAATGAACTTTAAAACATTCAAAAGTAAATTTTTAAAAAGGTCTGAGGTATTAGAAGAACCCTTCTGAATACTTCGAAATTATGAAGCACACAAAAAGAATTCTTTTGGTTGATGAGATTGCTAGCAGTAATATTTATTTAATTGCTTGGCACAAGCCGCTCTGGTAATGGCAAATCCCGATTCCTGGCAGGGGGTGTTAATCATTAACAACGACATGCCTTCACAGACTGGGTCAAAGACAGGTGCACGCACATAACGCACAAAGACAGACACACAGAGATAAGAAGCCAGGAATTTAGGGAGGACCTGGTATCTATGGAGGCTACAGTTTACTGAGTAACACGGACCACAGCCAAGTTACTGACCATTAATTCCAAGTCTGACGCCTCCTCCTTTAAGCAATCAGTGAACGAGAAAGGGAGATAGAGCACGTACACCGTGCTTTTTACTCCATCAAAAAAGATGTAATTACTTTAAGCAAAAAAAAAAAAAAAAGTATTATATGTTCTTTAATTGTAAACCAAATGGCTCACAAAATACCATAAATGCTGCATTTCAAGGAGCAATGCACAAAAATCAAATAAAAAGAAAAAACAGACACCACAACAGGATAGCTCAAAAATCAATTTAAAAAAAAACCAGCCCAAAACAAAGAAACTACTGTAAGCCTCAAAATGGAGAAAGAGCTGATGTCCACTCTTGAAGCATGCTTTTACTTTTATACTACATATAATAAGAACTCACTGGAAATGCCTATATCCTCTAGTTTCATAAATAATTATCAATAATTAAAAATAATTAAATAAAAAAGGTTAAAATAATGGTAATTGTTAATTATATCACTTCCAAAGTTTACATTTTATGATCTGAAGCTTCATTTTTTCTCAAAGTCTTCTCCTGTTCTTCAAAAAATTTTTCGTTTTTGTAATTAATAAACATCTAATTTTAGAGTTCTTGAAAACAATTTGGGGAAGTGTAAAAATTTTAAAAATCAGAGTCTTTCCCCTATCATTTTAAGTCAACAAAATGTGTTAAAGTTTCCAAGAAACATATCAATGGTATCACTGATAGTAATCCTTCAAAGAACGGCAGGATTTAAAACATAATCCAGTCTGTGCTTTTCCTAGCATCAGTGCTCGGAGCCGGATCTCCCCATACCTGGCCAGGGAATGGGGGGAGCCTGAGCCAGCCAGCTTCTGCCAAAGTCACCACTTTATTTTTTCTGAGCACTTATTAAGTACGAGGCCCGGCTCTAAGCACTTCGCATATGTGACTCAAGCCTCACACCACCCCTGCGGGAGACAGCTGTATCTGCGACCATTCTAATGCTGAGGAAGTACAGCAGGTAACAAAATCTGAGGCCACACAGCAGAGCTCGAAGGCCAACCAGGCTGTCGGGATCAGAGTTATTGGTTTTAAGCACTATGCTAGCTTGCTATAGATTCTGGCACTTGGAAAAGGCTTCATATAAGAAAAAATGGGTTGGAGGTGGGGTCTATCATATTTTTCAGAATCCCATATAGATATTCCACTTGAGTCCCTCCAGTGAAGGAAGCTGACAGCTGATGAGGTAGTGTATTTCACCCCTAGACAGCTCGAAGGGCTAGATGGTTGCTGATTTGGAGACCAGATTTCAATCCCTGGAGCATTCACTAGAGATCCTACTTCCAAACTCTGGAATAACATGCAACTCATTTCTTCCCTTGTCTACTTGGAAGTCCTCCTGGTACTAAAGGACAGCCCCTGCATCCCCCACCCTCTTCTGTGCTATTTCTGTTCTTCCCATCCTGTGCTCAGATTTCCGGGTTCCCTGCCTATACCTCCACCCTCCCTGGAAGGCTTCTTAAAACATGGAGCTCATAGTCAGATGCAACTCTGTGGGCATGATTGGGACAGGGAAAAATGGGATTAGTATGTCTTGCTTATGAACTCTATATATTAGTGATGGTCTTAGGTTGCATTTACTTGTTTTACTTATATGTGTGTGTATGTATGTGTGTATGTGTATATATATATATATATAATTTTTTTTTTTTTGAGGTAGGGTCTCGCTCGGTCCAGGGTAGAGTACAGTGGCACCATCATAGCTCACTACAACCTTGAACTCCTGAGCTCAGGTGATCCACCTGCCTCAACCTCCCAAGTAGCTGGGACTACAGGTGTGCACCACTACGCCTGGCTAATTTTTTTTTATTTTTGGTAGAGACGGGGTCTCACTGTGTTGCCCAGACTGGTCTCAAACTCCTGGCCCCAAGCGATCTTTTCACCTCAGCCTCCCCAAGTGCTCAGATTACAAGCATGAGCCACTGTGCTCGGCCTGTTTTATATTTTTAAGCTTACAAAATACTGAAAAATCTAAGGAAGAGAATGGATTACTTATACATCTACTTCTTTAAACACCAACTTTAGCAGCTTACATTTATCTTTCTAACCATTATTTTTAATCATTTTACATTATGAAACTTTTAAAATATTCTATAATTAGAGGGAATGACAAATACTCATGCCCTCGCCATCAACACTTAATAGATGCTAAATTTTTACCATCTCTGTTTTAGGTCGCCCAAAGCCCCATGTGCACCATACTCTAATGCTATCCCCTCCCTTTTCAGATTTGCTCTTCTTAAGCTGGCGGGCATCCTTCCTCAGCCTGTACTTCTGGCTTTTTTACACACTTGAATGGTATTGTTTTGTGTGTTTTATAAATGTGTATAAATGGTATATAATGTAACTATCCCTCTGCCACTCAGTTTTTTCCACCCAATATTATGTTCAGATTTATCCACATGGGAACATGTTGCTAGACTTCATTCATTTTAACTACAGCAGCTCCTCAAATAATGTTTCGTTGTAACACTGATGATGAAACAAAAAATTCTTAGCTGGGGCCGCAGTCTGTGTGCAGTTTGCATGTTCTCCCCATGTCTGCATGGGTTTCCTCTCACATCTCAAAGATGTGCTCATTGGGTTCATTGGTGTGTCTATACAGTTCTAGTCTGAGTGAGTGTGGATGTGTGTAAACACACCCTGCACTGGGATGGCGTCCTATCCAGGGCCAGTTCCTGCCTCATGCCCTGAGCTGCTGGAATGGGCTCTGGCCACTCATGACCCTGAACTTAAATAGCTGGGTAAATAATTTTCTTCCTTGTTTTTATTAATCTTTTAAAAATGTACGTATAGCTCACATTTATTTCAGTGTTTACCATTAGAAGTGTTTTGGTCTTTATTTAAAAGTTTGCTAGATGTCTTTGTGACCAGAAATACTCCATAGGTACTTAACTCTTGTTTGGGTCAATTAGCCTATGGTACAATCATTTCGTTATATGTTGTTTTGCTTAAAGTTGCAGTTTCTAAGAAACTATTGACAATGCCAAGTGAGGACTTACTGTACTGTACAGATTCCCACTGTATGAATACACAACATTTTAGGCATCTATTCCCCTATTAATGGATATTGAGGTTGTTCTAGCTTTTCACTATTACAAACAATGCTTAAGTGAACAATCTTAAGCATGTTTCTTTGTGTGTGTGTGTGAGAGTTTCTCAATAACCTATAAGCAGAAGTTAAACAGCTCAGTTGTATGCCTCTTTTATATCGTAGGATTCATAACAATGTATATACTTTTAAATTGAGTGTTCACTTAAAACCACAATAATAATGATTTAGATAATTGCTACTATCTCTCAACTATTAAAATACATATCAGGAGTATATTAACAAACCGTATTTAGGTTTATTTAATGTATTTATTTAACGCTTGCCAAGTGCTGAGGACTGTGTTCAGTGCTGTAGATGCGAATGAACAAGAATGTAACAGCACAGCTCATGAATTTACTACCTAACGGAAAAAGCAAAGCAAGAACAAGTAAACAAGCAAATACTAATCGAGTATGACATGCTGCCATGATAAGGGAAGCACAGTCTATCCAGCACAGCAGAGTGAGGGAGGGAGCTATCAGGAACTGAGATTGGAGGGACCGCCACTCATGGGGTGGGGGCAGAAGCTAGGGAGGGAAGCAGGTTCTCAGCAGAGAAGAACAGTGCTAAGGCCACAAGTCAGGAGCATGACATCGATGGAACTGGGAGAAATTCAGCACGGCCGGGGACAGAGGCAGTGGAAAAGTGAGGCTAAGTGTGTAAGGAGACAGGAAGTGATTGAGGAAAAGAAGCTGGCTATGGGAACAAAGCTAGTCAGATGTGCCTTTTATAAGGAGGAGGGGACATATCAGGGGAGTGAGGCAGGATGCACAGTGCCCAGTCAGGATGATGCAGCCACGGTGCTGGTGGGGACAGCAGGATCAGGCGGGGAATCGCCACCGATGGTCTTTGTCACACAGAAGACCACAGGAAACACTGCCAAGACCCTTGAGACTGGGCACCTGGGAGAACAGGGATCCCATTACCACAAATAAGGAAAAGAATGAGGGATGGCAGAGGGGGCATGAGGAGCAGGTTCTGACTCAATGTCTGGCTCCAAAGTGTTGCCAAGATATTACATCGAGCCCCATTCTGAAACCTGTCAACAAGGTCCAAATCACTAGCCTGGCAATCAAAGGACTGTTCAAGGGTGCAAACCGCCATATCCAATCTCTGAATCCTAAAATTCTGGCACTGTCCCCAGGACACAGCACATATTCAATATCTGTTTGCTGAAAAAAGTATGTGACATTGACACTCAACAATTTCCCCATAGACATGTTCTTAAATCATTTTGTGGTGGTTTTTTTTTGGAAAATAATGTGCATTTTCAGGAATGCTGATGACATATCTTGTATTATTTTCCAATTCAGCAAGGTAACAGAAGTAAGATACTTGAAAATAGAATCTGGGCATAGAATGTCTTAGTATCATGCACAGTATTACATACATTAGCTCAGGAAACGATTATGCATATATGTAAACCACAACTTGTTCTGCCCTTGTTTGTGTTTTCTTCTGGACTTAGGGTGGCTACTGGCCTTCAGTATATGATCATTGTGAAAGTCTAGAGCTACAGTGCAAAGCCGTACTACACAAATCAAGGTGACTTTATCCTGGCAAAATGACTCTTAGCTATACCATAATTCCATGCTTCAACATCAAAAATCAGAATAAGTGAATGGCACTCTTTATTTAAGCAAAGCAATATCCACTTACCCAAAAAGAATTCTACTATTTTAGCATCACAAGTGTATGAGTTATAAAAATTCCTTCCTGGAAGTTCATATGACTTTATAAAGAGTGTCAATAATTTACAATGTTGTACTTTTAACCAAGACATTTACTGCATGTACAACAGAAGAATTTAAACTATTGAACAAGTATACACTTCAGACAACAAGAATGAAACTTGATTCATCAAAACACTCAAGTATTTCAAAAATATCTTTAAAAAAATAAATACTACTATTGTAGCACAGAGCCACAGTTTGAATTTGGAGTTCTTCATTGCTTATCTATCTACCTACCTATCTATTTAGAGACAGAGTCTCACTCTGTCACCCAGCTACAGTGCAGTGGTGTCATCATAGCTCACTGCAAACTCAAACACCTGGGCTCAAGCAATCCTCCTGCCTCGGCCTCCCAGGTAGGTGGGACTACAGGTGCACGCCACCACGCCTGGATGATTTTTTTATTTTTTGTAAAGATGGGGTCCTGCTCTTGCTCAGGCTGGTCTCAAACTCCTGACCTCAAGCAATCCTCCAGCCTTGGCTTCCCAGAGTGCCTTCAGTTGTCACCATCCAAAAGGGACCATGTTAACTCAACCCACTTCCCAACTAGTCTGCCTTCCAATTAGGGGTGTGTTTACTTCTCCTATTTCACCTCATATCAATATTAACAACATAACTGCAGCCTCTGTATGTTTATACACTTATTTGTTTCCTTCTTAAAATGTATAAGCTATGAACAGCTTAACTCACATTAAAGAGTTCAAAATGTACACATTTTCCTGGTTTCTCCAACAAAGCACTAGTCTTGGAAATAAGAGGGAGGTGAATATGGAAGAACTAGCATAAAAGAGAGGCTTTCAAACACATCAAAACAACTTGTAGACCTTGTAAAAATTCTGATTTGCAAAAAACCAACTATAAAAAGACATCTTTGTGATAGTTAAACATGGA